TTTTTTTTTTTCTTAAAAGCATAGAAATATACAGTAAATATTGTGAATCTTTTAGATGTGCCCTAGGAAATATAAACACTGTTAAAATGGAAAGGAAAGAATGTTTAAATGCAGATTGTATGACATTTGCCTGTGTCCAACCCAGGCTGGCAAATATAGAAAAGGGACCTTCATTATCCAAAGTACTCAGCTGTGGAGGTTTCTGACCTCAGAGTAAAAACAAGTCCCCATTCCAAACGCTGCATGCTAAATTGCATGCTCCCTTTTTTATGCCAGTCTGTAATAGAAATTTAAGAGAGACTCTGGATTCTTAATTATTTAAGCCAATATTGCTGATCGCCCACTATGTGCATGGCCAGGCACTGAGATGCAGGGACGAAACATTCGGCTCCTACTCCCAAGTTGCTCACAAGTACAATAACCTACTACAACATAACAGGTTAACTGGTTTAGAAGTAGGATATATATAATCCAACTGTTCTTCCTATTCTTTACCTAGCGAAGGCTCACAGGGACATGACTTCTTTCTGTGCGTTGCTATTTTTTATTATTTTGTTAGATCTACTACAATCATGAAAAATGCTTTCCGAAGTCTTTAGTTAGATTATGTCTGGATTGACAATACCCACTATGACCAATTCTATATTTCTTTTGATTCAGGAATTTAAACTTATTAGCAAACATTCAGTGAGACAGAAATGAAATCATAATAGTCTAAAGGAGTTAGCCTATTATCCTCTTAACATCACCAAAGAGTAAAGTAAGGACAGGAGATTTCGGTTGCTACTTGCCAACATTTCTGTCAGTTCCATATGAGATAGGAAAAAATATTAGCATTTCACAAACTTAACTAAGAAGGAGTAGCGGTTAAGAAGGAGTGGTTGTTAAAACACAAAAGTGATAAGCTGAGTTTTACACACTTCTGAGATCCTTTTACAAGTTCTCCAAGGCTTAACAGCTCCTAGTTGAGGGACACCCTCAGGTTTCAGATGAGTTTTCCAAATCAGCGTGAAACCCTGAGACTTCACTTCCTTCAGAGAGTGCAGGGAATGAAATCTCTGTTAAAATTAGGGTTTCTTCATCTCAAAAATTACAAATTTAGGATAAAAAAAAAAAAAAGAACGTCCATTAAGCTTTAATTTCCTAGAAAGTAAGAGACAGTGCCTAGTTCACTGTTTTACCTTTTTGTTTACAGTGTGGTCTCCGGCATGCAGGGGGAGCTTCAAAAATATTTGTTAAATAAGAGACTATGGTTTTTAAATTTCACGAGAGAGAGAGAGAGAGAGAGAGAGAGAGAGAGAGAGAGAGAGAGAGTAGGAAGGGGTGGGGGGCAGACTTGGGTCTGAGGCATGTGTTGGTTTTAGTTCTCTAACGCTCACAACTAGAGTGAGATACTTCACTAGATGTTCAATAAAGTTTTGTTTCAGCTTAGTTTTTCTGTTTCACAGGTCACATGTGCCAAGACTCTTCATGGGAGAATGAAGCATACAGGCTGGGAGATCCAGCCTGGGTCTCTACTTTTCTGGGTGGGTGTCTCCTGGTGGAGGGTTGCTTTGTGCTGGGCTCGCAGGTGCCTTCCTGCCTGCCACTGGCTTTTCTGCTGGTCTGGCAGCAGACCAGCATACTGTTGCAGCTCCTTCTTGTGGCTACTTCTCCTTAAAGGTCTTTCTTCTTTGCTCGCCCCTTGGCAGACACCCCTGGGGAGTCTCCCTGCTCTTGTTTCTGGCTTCAAACTGCTCTTGGGCTGCTGACCTACTGCTGTTTTGCATCACCAGTGACTTAGCAGCAAAGACATCGGATTTCATGCCAATGACAGAATTGGAAAGACAAATACGTACAGTATTTCTGCATTTGTGTATTTTGTTTCAAATGTGAGAAAAGTAGGAATTTCATCTTTAATTACTTCGTTTTTTTTAAACTACTCTTATTTTTACATTTGAATTTATTTTTGTTAATGATTTTATTCATAATAAGAATCCACCATGTAACCGTGCATTAAATATACAGAGAAAGGAAACAAGTGAGTCCATCTTGATAACTATAGGTTAGTTAGCACAATTGAAATACTTAGAAATTTATAGGAGCAATTATTGTTCAAATGCTTTTTAAACTATTTGGATTGAATAATTAAAAGTAATTACCTAGTATTCACCATGGGGTTGTTCAGTTCTCCTATAATTCCTTACTAATTTAAGGGACATAGTTTTTGTAACATCCTTTGTTCAAAACTGGTGGAGTCAATAAAAGCAGTTTGTTATCTTCAGACATGTCTGTGACTAAATATCTGGGTAGCAGCACGCCTTCATTTTCTAGGTTTAGACAGATGTCTATTCTGAATTTTGTAATTCCTAAGAACAACAATTTTATAGTTTTTTAAATTATAAATATCCAGCGTACAAACAAGATACTCTTCCTTTACACAACCAAGGTTTCTATCCGCAATTTAAGAACATATTTCCCTGTATATCATTTATAGACTTAAGAAACATTAGGTTGGAATCTCTTTGTGATAAATACTCAAAAGATAATAATTGGGACATGCTTCAGTAATCTCATCTCCAGATGGTATAATCCTCATTTAGACTTTCCTTTTGAGCCTTATTTTACAGTGCTTCGTTTCTGAGACTGTCGATGCCCTTCATGTTTCTGTTCAGTTTCAAAG